TTTCTTTCTTTCTTTCTTTCTTTCTTTCTTTCTTTCTTTCTTTCTTTTCTGACTTCTGTTGTTGCTGACTTTTTCATCCATGTTGCTGATTTTTTTTAATCTATTTTTGCTGACTTTTTTCTCTCTACTGTTGAGTTTCCTCTCTTGGACTGGATTGAATTATTTGTACCCTCTTTAGGGTTATTGATAATTTTCATGGCTGTCTCTCCAGCCAAAAAAAAAAAAGAATAGTAAAAAAATAAAAACACAAAAAAAAATAAATAAATGAACTGAAGATTTCTTGGGATTTCCTACATAGACAATAGGAACTGTTAAATTTTTTTCTTTCCATCATGTATACATTTTGCTTCTCTTTCTTTCCTTATTGCATGGCTATGATCTTGTTCCTGATGTGGGTAGCATCTTACTTTATTTATTATTAAAGTTATATATGAACTATATAGGCTTTTATAGATGCTATGTAAAATAAGTTCCCTTCCATTCTTATTTTCTGAGCTTTTATCATAGATAGATGTGAATTTTATAAACTGCTTTATCTGCCTCTGCTAGTATGGTTGTGCTATATTATTTTTCTATGTATTGCTTGAATTTATCTGCTAGTATTTGTGGATATTTTTATGTGTGCCCTTTAGGCAAATTAATCTGTAACCTTCTTTGGTTTTTAGAAGAATTCTGTCTTTGTAAAAATGAGTTGGGAAGTGTCCTGTGTTATTGTTAGGGTTTTTGTTTTGCTTTATTGTTTTCAAAATTTTTTTGCTTAAAAATTTTTTATATAATATACTTTGGTCATATTCCCTTCCCCCAACTGCTCTGAGATCTTCCCCACCTTCCTACTTCATTTTCTTTCTTTCTCTCTCAAATAATTAATTGATTAATAAAAAAAAATAAAAACAAACACAAACCTCAATAAGACAAAGCAAGATAGGGCCAAGATGTAGCAAAGCTGACCAGATTGCACTGTTCCTCTTTTAGCTTCCAAGGGCTGGTGTTGCAAGTGTATCATTCTGTGATACTCACTGTCAGCCACTGTAGTGTTTGAGAGACTGGGTAGCACTATTTGTTATTTCTTCTTCCAGGAGCTTTGTTTAGATGTAAGATTCCTGTGGGAGTTGAGGAGATGGCTCAGTGGTGAAGAGCACTTGCTGCTCTTGCAGGGGTTCTCCAGTGGAACTGTTTAAGCCTGGACATTTTTAGAAGGCTTTTAACTGTGAATTTAATTTCTTTAGTGGTTAAATAGTAATAATTTGGTCTGTCTTTTTGAATAGTCTATGAATGCTTGAGAGAACGTGTATTCTGTTGCAGTTTGGGTACAGTGTTTCATAAATTTCAGTTATCTGTATTGTTCCTCAAAGTTTAGTTTTGTATCCTTGTGGATTTTTTCTTCTTTTTGTCAGTCTGTTTTGGCTGCTGCTTGTTCCACTTATTGAGGAATGTTGGCCCTCCACGATAGCTGTGGGTTTGTGTTTTCCTGTTTCAGTTCTGTCAAATTTGCTTTCTTTATTTTGAAATTCCACTGCTTGGTAATACACATTTAGGATTACCTTATCTTTTAGTAGATTGTCCTTTTATCATGATTAATGTCATTTTTGTCTCTAGGATACTTTGTCTAAATATTAATTGGACAACAATTTGAATAACCCATTAAGCAGGTCTCTAAGTTTAAACATATAAACTATGAGTTTTATTTTAGGATATAATTATCTGTCCATTAGTTTGCCCATCTATCTACCAGTACACACATATACACAGATGCGAGCGCGCACGTGCACGCGCGCGCGCGCGCGCACACACACACACACACACACACACTGACTTTTGTTCTTCTGTCAAAAGCATATCTAAAACAATCTTTCAGGTAGCTAGCATGGAACTGACAGAATTTAACTAGTTTTAACAATCTAAAATTTAACATTTTAGTGTAAAAGGTGAAATAGTTTATATTTGATTATATATTTGTGACTTTTCTTTTTTAATGCAACCTAGTGCAGATGTAAAATTTGTGGTAGGGACTGGAGAGATGTCTCATTGGTTAAGAGCATTTGGAGAGGACTAGAGTTTGGTTCCCAGCGCCCATGTCAGATGACTCACAAGTACCTCTATCTCCAACACCAGAGGATCTCACATTCCTTTCTGCCCTCCACAGGCACAAGCGCGTGCGCACACACACGCGCGCGCACACACACACACGTGCGAGTGCACACACACAAATAAATGTAAAAAAAGAAAAGTTACATTTTAATATGTTCATTACTTAATTGTGTTATTTTTAAATTTTAGATGGAAGAAAGGAAGACCTTTATTTTTTAAAGTAAATCCCAAATCAAGAAACTCCTTTGGTTATCATTTGCTATATACCATAAGAATACCATATATAAAAAATTTTCAGCTGTGTTCATAGCAGGAGTCACATGCTTTTCTCTGGATACTTAACCTTTCTTTTCAGCTTACTCGGGGAATCAGCTCACTAGGAGTCTACAGATTAAGCCACGGGAATTCAGTGAACACAGGACCATGTGGTTTAGATCCTACAGGGTGACTTTTTCCTGTTTGAACAGAATAAAAACTTACAGGTAAGTAATTTATTATTTTGAAGAGATTTACATAATTATGTGTAATTTTGGTAGTTTAGTTTTGATCATGTTTAATAAACTTGGCCAGTGTGTAAAAGCTCATGTAGGTCAATTAAAGTAGTTTTACTTACTTAGATAGTCTCTTATAATTTTTTATCATAAGGTTTAGGTTTAGAAACTTAAAGTTTAGCTAAAAGTTGGAAGGAAAGTATAGTATATAGCGGTGTATGATACTTACTTAAGTTCAGAGATAATTTTTTTTTTAATTTTAATAGAAGATTAGACACATCTCTTTCAAGTTCACCAGCCCCCTTCCTTCCTGGAGAGGGCCTTTTTCTTTCTTAATTCTCCTGTCAATTAGGGTTTTTATTGCTGAGAAGAGACACCATGACTACTGCAAGTCTTCTAAAAGAAAACATTTTATTGGGGTTGGCTTACACTTTTAGTCCGTTATTGTTGTGGCAGAAATCATGGCAACATGCAGGCAGACTGGGGCTGAGAATTGTACATCCAGATCTGTCCACAGCAGGAAGTGAACTGGCTTGATCTTCTGAGAGCCCAACCCCTGGTGACATACTTCCCCTAACAAGGCCACACCTCCAAATAGTGCTGCTCCCTACAGAACAAGTGTTCAAGCCCGTGAGTCTGCGGGGCCCGTTCCCATTCAATCCATCCCAAGCCCCAACCCTGCTTCTCCCACTAAAGGAAGAGAAGGCTGTATAGAGAACATGGAAATGATTTTACTTCTCCATAACTCCCTTGTGATAAAAGCAAGCATGAGCATGCTAAGATGGAGACGTCTATGATGCCAGGTAGTAGGATTAAGTCAGCAAATTGTGTGTTTAGACTTTTCAAATTGGTTTCTAATCTTGTGAAAAATACCTCACAGTGTTAGTTCAAATTGACTACTTCCTGAGTGCACACCCTTGCATCTTAGGCATGAGCACTTTGAGATGGGGCGTAGGTAAAACTATTCTTAGTTAATAGAGCGGCTACTTACTGTTTGTTATCCTTAGTAAATTAGTCATGAGGACTGAAGATGAAGTTTTGCCTTAATAATGGCCAAGGATTCCTACTTGGAATTCAATTCATATTCCTTAAAAAATGATTCTTGAATTTAAATTTTTTAAAATTACGCTTGCTTATTATTTCTTTAGTGTGTGTGTGTGTGTGTGTGTGTGTGTGTGTGTGTGTGTGTGTGTGTAAAGAGGTGGGGCATGCATGTCCTGACACGCTGGAGGTCAGAGAACACCTTTCAGGCATCTCTGCTCTCCTCCAGCCTCATGGGTCCCAAGGATCACAAGGAGGCTGCCAGGCTTGTAGCAAGCTCCTTTACACACTGAGCCATCTCACTGGAACATGATACTTGAATTTAAGTTAAAAAAGAATAGTGACTACAGAATTTACACTCTAAATTTATTCAAGTAAAATAGTAAAAATTTGAGTGGCATTATTTTTTTCTGATTTAACAGTCTAATTATCTTTTGCCAAGCAGAACTTAGGAGTATTTTTCTACGCTGAACTAACATGTGACTCATGGTTGAGTCTAATATTGTATTCCTTCCTCTTTTCATAAGAGTAAAAGAGTGAAAACTATATATGCTTTTTCTGACCCTTTTTCTTCAAAGTATCTATTTGACAGTTATCTCCAGAGAAACTGTGTTCTAGGAACTGTACTAGTGTCTAGGAATAAGGTGATACTGAAGACAGCCCATGCCTTTCCTTCATAGTAGCTATTCTAGTGAGTACCAGACATGTCAGCTGGTTATACAACCCAGCAGAGAAGCACAAGGTGAGATAGGAGTTAAAATAGGGGAACGTAATCCACACACTTAAGCACCAACGAAGATTTTGTAAATAACATTTCATTTAAAATAAGATTTGAGGGATGAGAGACTTGGGCATGTAGCAAAGGAAACAAAGGGATGCCGGGAGAATGGTCGAGACAGAAGAAACAATATACACCAGGAGTGAGAGGAAAGAACAAACATGGACAGTATAAAGGCAGCATGGCTAATGGGGGAGGGGGAGGGGAAAATGAGTCCCGAGAAGAAGGGAGTTGCAGACTCCATCATTCTAAGATTACTGTCAGGCCAAGGATTTGAGTCTTTTTCTCTAATGGCTTTGGAATCTTTGAAAGAGCTTTATCTGAGAGAAAAAATGAGGTAGGTTTTTTTACGTCATAATAACCACGCTGTTGTTGATCATGGGAAACAAACTAGAAGGCGGTGGTGCATGGAGCTTCCGGACCAATGGGAAGAGTAAGACCGTAGTCAGGGAGGAGGGAGTGGAGTTCATACTCTCAGGGTCTCTGTGGAAATGGAAGGCAGAGGGCAGAATGGCGGAGTCACTAGTGTTCAAGTTGTGGCCCAACCACCTGCCTGACTTCTCTCTTCTCAACCACAAAATAATAGTACAGTTGTCCAGAAATAGCATACTGTCTTAGTATCTTAGCCAGCATCTGGCATTTATTTAGTTCTCAACAAGTGATGGCTACTGTTGTTGTTATTATTGTTACTGAATCAGAATGACCTCAAACAGCAGCTTTTATCCTCAAAAGTTCATGACTGGGCTGGAGAGATAGCTCAGAGGTTAAGAACACTGACTGCCCTTCCAAAGGTCCTGAGTTCAATTCCCAGCACCCACATGGTGGCTTACAACCATCTATAATGGTGTGCTCTTCTGGTGTGTAAGGATACATGCAGGCAGAATGCTGTATAAATAATAAATAAATAAATCTTAAAAAAAAGTTCATGACTGTGTAGGAGCAGGTGACTGATCTTAAAGTCTCAAAACTGAGTCACATATATAGTTAGAACCTAATAAATTAGAGTAACTTTCTTTACAATATATTCCTGTAACACATTTTTAGAACAACAGTGTAACCTAGTTCTTTATTTTTATCCCTTAGGACTCCTTGGAAAAGATTATACAGTACTTCACAAACAACAATTGACAGCAAGGAGTTAAAAACCTTCCTGGCCCTGGCTCACAAGTGGTGGGATGAGCAAGGAGTATTTGCACCTCTTCATTCTCTGAATGACCTGAGGGTGCCATTCATTAGGTAACATTCCAGAAACTCCTTTTAAGTCTTTTTTAAAAATATTTATTTTATTATGTATACAATGTTCTGCCTTCATGTACACCTGAACACCAGAAGAAGACACCAGATCTCATTATAGATGGTTGTGAGCCACCATGTGGTTGCTGGGAATTTAACTCACGACCTCTGGAAGGGCAGCCAATGCTCTTAACGTCTGAGCCATCTCTTCAGCCCCTTTTAAGTCTTTAAAAGTGCACAGTTTGCTAATTTGCATTCACTTTCTTTTTGCTTTCCTTATGTTCAGAATCCCATGTCTTAGGGTTGCTTTGGAAATCAGATCTACCAGTATCTTGTAGGAACAATACTCAAATCCCAGGTTGCTTTCACAACTTAACTAGAAACATTTTTGGCCCTATTAGGTTAGTTTGAATTCAATCCTAAAGAAAGGGAACTAAAGTGCTATGTCTTGAAGGTCGTTTTATAGCTACTAATCTGCAGTGGCCTTGGTGACCTTCAGGCAGTTCTGATAAAGGAAACATTGTGGAGACAGATTGGTCCAACAAGCACTTTTGAGCATTTAGTTTTGAGCACTTTGCTGACTTTGAAAACTACATGGGTGAATAAAACGTGCGCAGTGTGCTTCAGTGGGAGACAAAGAAAGACAGGAGTTCAGAGGGCTTGCCATGGTGCAGTTTGTAGTTCAGCAAACCTTCCAGGTGAATGCAGCACTGAGTTTGAGTCAATTTACATGGCATCTTAACTACTTAATTTAATTATTTCCTTTTAAATTTTTTAATGTGCATTGGTATTTTGCCTGCATGCATGTCTGTATGTTGGTGTTGGATCATGGAGTTACAAACAGTTGTGAGCTGCCATGTGGGTGCTGGGAATTAAACCTAGGTCCTCTGGAAGAGCAGTCAGTGCTCTCAACCACTGAGCTATTTCTCCAGCACCCATTTATTTATGTAGCTCAGAAAACAGGTCATCTAGTGCGATGCAAATTGTGGTTACATGTTTGGATTTTGTTTTCATAACTTGAAGCCATCAGAAGGAAACAATATAGCCTAAAAATTATAGCAGCATCATTTTGTGACCGCTTAAAGAATGAACTGAACTTCGTTTGGAACAGATCATTTCCTATAACATCCTCAAGTGATCCACTGTACTATGAAGGTGCACATATGTCTGTGTTTGGGAAAGCATAAATTTACTTGATTTTGGTGTAAGTGTGCATAGTGATAAATGGAAAAGTCCTACTCACTTAGAAGATTGAAGAGACAAAGAAGGGAATATAGACAACTTAAATGAATGTGCAACTCCCATCTGCTTTTTTTAATTTGTAAAATAATGTGGAAAGTCAGCTGAGAAACTTCTGAAAACAGTGAACAGAGGCTGTCAATTTTCATCCTACACTGTTAAGACAGTTTGATTGAAAAAATACTTGAAGAAAATTAGGTTTATTTGTCTAGATTAGGTTTAATTTTTTTTCTGTAAACTATTATTAGAGCAATAATAGACTACTGCCAGATTATTTCAGAATTTTGCTGATTGAAAATGTACAAATTAAGTATGTCATTAAATTCTGAAACTGAAAGGTATTTTAATAAAAATTTCAATGATTCATTTCAAATGGGGATTCCAGACCAGGCAAGTGGCAGCACTGTGGTCCCAGAGCTTAGGAAGCTGAAGAGGTTAGATTGGGGGCTTAAGGCCTGCCTGACCCTTGTAGCAAGCCCATATCTCAAAGCAGAGACAAATAAATAAGCAAATTAAATTAAAGGAAGGTGAATTGAAAATTGTGTATTTTAAAACCTTTTGTTGATAAAAGTAGCTGGTGTTTTTACATATTTTGAATTTTTATTTTAAAGAGACAATCTTTTGAGAACAAGTGTCAGTCACCATCCTGGAAAGCCCTTGTCTGGGATGAGGATTCTTGACGTTGGCTGTGGCGGTGGGTTATTAACTGAAGTAAGTGCCTGGCGGTGGTTTTCCCATTTTTCATGCACATGAGAATTTCTTAGGGTGCCTAATAGTGCTTGCTAGTAAGAATAACTAAATTCTTTTGTTGTTGTTGTTGTTAAGATTTATTTATTTATCATGTATACAGTGTTCTGCCTGCATGTATGCCCACATGCCAGAAGGGGGCACCAGATCTCATTATAGGTAGTTGTGAGCCACCATGTAGTTGCTGGGAATTGAACTCGGGACTTTTGGAAGAGTGGTCAACCAGCACTCTTAACCTCTTAGCCATCTCTCCAGCTCAAGTAACTAAATTCTTAAAATATTTAAACAGTAATTCAGTAGAATACATCAGTATGTTTACAGAAGTGATCCATTTCAAATGAAGTCCAATTTTTTCATCAAGTAGTTTAAGCATTTTATGCATGCCTTTAATGTGTTTTGATCAAAACTTTGTTATTTTGGGTAAAAAATTGAGAATTTTTTACAAATGGGCATTTGCTTCATTTATCCTTTTAACAAATAATATTGTGTGTGTTTTAGTGAATAGTAGTAATTTTAATATTGCTGTACAAGTCCTATTTTCAAGAAAAAATATTTTCAGAAAACTCTACTGAAGTTTTTGGGTTTTGTTTTTAATAAGTAGGCATAGGCCATTCTATCCCAAGAAACTGGGCAGTTTCTATGAGATTAAATACAGGTTTAGACTGCCTACTTATGGATCTCAGCATCTGCAAGAGCGTTGCTCCTTGTTGGGATCAGGTCTTTCGGGTACTCCAGAGTTCTTAGATGTGAGGTGATTGTCCCTGCAAGGAACATTTATGCCCTACAGCTGTGTTTTCTAGTCCTCATCAGCACAGGTGCCTTTTTTTTTTTTAATTTTTTATTAATTACACTTTATTCATTTTGTATCCCCCCATAAGCCCCTCCTTCCTCCCCTCCCGATCCCACCCTCCCTCCCCTTTCTGCATGCATGCCACTCCCCAAGTCCACTGATAGGGGAGGTTCTCCTCTTCTTTCTGGTCTTAGTCTATCAGTTCTCATCAAAAGTGGCTGCATTGTCCTCTACTGTGGCCTGGTAAGGCTGCTCCCCCCTCAGGGGGAGGTGATCAAAGAGCAGGCCAATCAGATTATGTCAGAGGCAGTCCCTCTTCCCATTACTAGGTAACCCACTTGGACACTGACCTGCCATGGGCTACATCTGTGCAGGGGTTCTAGGTTATCTCCATGAATAGTCCTTGGTTGGAGCATGAGTCTCTGGGAAGTTCCCTGTGTTCAAATTTTCTTGTTCTGTTGCTCTCCTTGTGGAGTTCCTGTCCTCTCCAGCTCTTACTATATCCCACTTCTTACATAAAATTCCATTCACTCTGCCCAACAGTTGGCCATCAGGCTCAGCCTCTGCTTTGATAGTCTGCAGGGCAGAGGCTTTCAGAGGCCCTCTGTGGCAGGTTCCTAGGTTGTTTCACAGGGGCCTTTTACATCATAATTTAATCTTTGAGATTTTCAGTTATAGTTTTAGTATTTTATATATTGCCCTTTGAAACATTAGGTATAGCAATTTTGACTTACTAAAAATTGTAATTAATTTTTAAAAATTTCATGTGTGTGTACTGTATTGATATAATTTCTCTCCCCTCCAACCCTTCCCATGTCTCCCATGTCAAATCTATGTCTCCTTTTAAAAAATTATTATTGTTACATACATGTTTTAGAATGATTACATTAACACAGCCTGACGGTTCTGTTACTTCTGTTTAGTGCCACTCAGATGTGTATGTTTTCAGGACTCACCACTTGGTATTGGAGAATCAATTTGGATAAACTTTTTATTGCTAGCGTGCTCTGTTTTCTTCGTGACATAACCATTTTCATGCCGTTAGCCTCTAGGTCGACTGGGGGCTTCGGTGACCGGAATCGACCCGGTGGCTGAAAACATCAAGGTAGCACAGCATCATAAATCATTTGACCCAGTCCTGGACGAGAGGATAGAGTACGAGGCGTGCTCCCTGGAGGAGACTGTGGATGAGCGTGCGGAAAGTTTCGATGCTGTTGTGGCCTCGGAAGTTGTCGAGCATGTGGCCAACCTTGAAATATTTTTGCAGTGCTGCTGTCAAGTTCTAAAAGTAAGACTGGCTTGGCCTATGTTCCTTCCGAATGTGTGTGTCCATGGTGATGCATTGTGCCAGGTGTGTTAGCAGCTCAGGAGGTGAGTTAGGAATGGGAGGCTGAGAAAGAAGGAGTAGGGCCTGGTGTCTCTGCTGGAGATGACTGCTGTCCCTCTGCTGCCCTCAATAAGCAGGTCTTTCCAGTGCCTCGTTAGTGTCATGCTGTTCAGGGATCTTCAGAATTGTTGGTGCTAAGTACTAGAAAATAGTGCTTTGATGAGGGTGGGTGTACTGGCACTTGCTTTTAATTTCATCACTTGGGAGGCAGAAACAAACAGATCTCTATGAGTTCAAGGCCAGCCTGGTCTACATAGCAAGTTTCAGGCCAGCCAGTACTACATAGTGAGACCTGGTCTCAAACAAACAAATAAAAGCCCAGAAAAATAATACCTTTGTGATGGAATTTTTCTATTACATAACTGTATTAAATACTTAATAGGCATTTATGACAATTACCAGGAAACTGATTGAAACTGATCCTTTAAAGCAGTGACCAGTGCTGGGTGGTGGCGCCTTCACTCCCATCACTTGTGAGGCAGAGGCCAGTCTGGTCAACAGAGTGACCAGGCAGGGCTACAATACACAGAGACACCCTGTTTTGGAAAAGCCAAAAAACAAGAAACCTCCCAGCTTTGCCAGCAGCTCAGCTCTCCTTGACTAATCTTGGATCCACAGGACAGCTCTTACCGCTTTGCCTCAGACACTTCAGCCCCAGTTACAGCATACAACCCCACAAAGCAGAGGCTCGGAGGTTGAACCATCCTGCCCAAGTAAACCAGCCTTTCTGAGGATTAATCCCTGCTGGAACACAATGGGCTGTTCAGTTTCCATGAGTGTGTAGGCTTTCTGTTGTTGTGTTGTTGGCCAGCTTTAATCTGCAGTGGTCAGATAGGATGTAGTGTCATTTTACTTTTCTTGTATCTTTTGATACTTGATTTGTGTCTGAGTATGTGGTCAGTTTTGGAGACAGTTCCCTGAGGTGCTGAGGAGAGATCATGTTCTTTTGTGTTTTGCTGAAATGTTCTGTAGATATCTGTTGGGTCCTTTTTGTCTATAGTACCAGTTAACTACAGCATTTCTCTATTAAATTGTTGTCTGGGTAATCTGTTTATTGGTGAGAGTTGAGTACTGAAGTCTTCCACTATTTGTGTGTAGGGGTCAATGTGTGATTTAAGTTGTAGCAGTGTTTCTTTTATGAATTTGGGTGCCCTTGTGTTTGGTACATAAATGTTAAGTATTGCTAAGACCTCTTGGTAGGTTTTTCCTTTGATTAGTATGTAGTATATTTCCCTGTCTCTTCTAGTTAGTTTTGGTTCAAAGTCTATTTTATCAGATATTAAAATGGCTATAATAGCTTCCTTTTAGGTCCATTTGCTTAAAAATCTTTTTCCGCTTTTTGTTTTGTTGTTTTGAGACAGGGTTTCTCTGTATAGCCATGGCTGTTCTGGACTCGCTTTGTAGCCCAGGCTGGCCTCAAACTCACAGAGATTCACCTGCCTCCTTTAGTGCTGGAATTACAGGCATGCACCACTGTGCCCACCTTTTTTTCCATTTTTTTTTTACCCTGGAGTAATATTTAGCTTTGATGTGAAGGTGTGTTTCTTGGATGCAGCCAAAGGAGGGATCCTGCTTTCACATTCTGCTAATATGTGTATTCTTATTGGGAACGGAGAGCATTGATGTTGAGGATATCAATGAGCAGTATTTGTTGATCCCTGTTTTTGCTGTTGTGATGGTGGTGGTAGTGGTGGTGGTCATTGCAGTAGTAGTGTGTTTCCCTTTTTCTGATTTTCTAGCCCGGAATTATTTATTCTTTGTTTTCTTGGGTGTGGTTAACCTCTATGAGTTGGGTTTTCCTTCTAGCACCAGCTGTAGGCTGGATTTGTAGAAAGGTATTGCTTAAACTTTGTTAATCATGTGATATCTTACTTTCTCCCTCTGTGGTGACTGAAAGTTTTGCTGGGGACTGTAGAGTCTATAGAACATCTGCCCAGGCCTCTCTGGCTTTCAGAGTCTCCATTGAGAAATCAGGTGTTACTCTAACTGGCCTGCTTTTCTTTGTATATTAGTTGGTCTTTTTCTTTTATAGCTGTTAATACTCTTTCTTTGTTCTGTACTTCCAGTGTTTTGGTTATTCTGTGCTGAAGGAACTTTCTTTTCTGGTCCAGTCAGTTTGGTGCCCTGTGTGCTTCTGGCACCTTGATGGGCATCTCCTTCTTTAGGCTAGGGAGATCTTCTTCTATGGTTTTGTTGAAGTGTTTTCCAGGCCTTTGTTCTGGGTTTCTTTTCCTTTCTCTAATTCTGTTATTCTTAGATTTGCTCTTTTCATAGTGTACCACATGTCCTGGATGTTTTTCTTTTCTTGTCAGGATGTAGCATTTCTTTGACTGCGGTATCAGTTTATTCTATTGTGTCTTCAATGCATGAGGGTCTCTTTTCCAGCTCTTGGATTCTGTTGGTGAGGCTTGCCTCTGCGGTTCCTGTTCCAGTTCCTAAATTTGTCATTTCCACATTTTCCTCCTTTTTTCCCCCCACTTTCTTAGACAGGGTTTCTTTGTGTAGCCTTGACTGTCCTGAAGGCTGGTCTTAAACTCACAGTGATCCTCCTGCCTCTACCTCCCTGGGTGCTGGGATTACTGTGCCCAGCTTCAGGGTTTTTGTTTGTTTGTTTTTAATAAATCTGCTCTATTTCCACTTTCCAGTTTTGAACTGTTTTATTCACTTCCTTCTACTGTTTGTGTTTTCATAGATTTTTGTGAAGAGATTTATTCATTTTTCTCTTAAGGCATTTCTGTGTGTGTGTGTGTGTGTGTGTGTGTGTGTGTGTGCGCGCGCGCGCGCATGTGTGTGTGCGCGCGCGCTTCAGTCATAGTACAATACTTATTGCCTTTTGCATTAGTTTTGCTGGGCTTTAGTAGAGGCATACTGTCCTGGATGTTATTGATTGTGCTTTTGCCGTGGCACTTAGGCATGTGGGATTTGAAGCCTGTAACTCGAGGTGGGGATACCTATTCTTGTCCCAGAAGAATTTCCAGGCCACATAGAGCCACCACACTCTCCCAAGAAATGGAGGAAACAGAAACCAAGGAATGAAACTCCCACCCAACAAAGACAAGTCTGTAACAGTTTCAGAGTTTCCTCATAAATGGAATTTTATTGGGTTCATTTTCTATTTTTGTAGTAAAATTCTTAATTATTAGTTTTTGTTCTTGGGCTAATATGTATGTCTGAGTAGAGGATCTTGGACACATGAGGAATGCTGATACTATAAACTTAAATCTAACTCTGTTTTAATGGAGACCAAATATTTTTAAAAATTGCTTACCACTATCACCATGAGGTGAGATACTACAGAATACAGATTAGATACTCATAAATGACTCTTAGTAAGATTTAAAATACTGAAGTTTACAGTGAGGAGTTACAGTCTGTGGTGATATCATACCCCAGGATTAAAGATATCCCTTTCTATCCTATATACACATACTAGCTATCATCTACTTCCCTACCTACCTACCTGTCTATTGCAATCATTAAAGAGAGAGACAGAGACACAGAGATACAGAGACAGACATCAGTAGTGTGATCTTAGATTGGCATTTTATCCTCATTAGGCTAATGAGACGAGGTTAAAAAGAGGAACATTATCTTCCTTGCTGTTTTGAGAATAAACATAGGAAATATAAGTATTATCATTATAAAGGCAGGCTAAATACTTCCATAAATGTTTATCTGATCCCTTCATAATTTTTACATAAATCAAAACAAAAAAAAATGCTTAACCCTTAACCATGACAATTTTTGTCAGAGAGTGCTTGATGGTAGTGCTCCTTGGCTCAGGGTGTATAGGCAGATACTGTACCAAGCACATTAGGTCTAGCACCTGAGAGAAAACTGGAAGACCTCTGTATGTTAAGGGGACACCAAGGAATTGTTGTACCTTCTAGACACAACATGTGAGCTCACTGAAACTGGCAGCGTGCACAGGGCCTGCACAGGTCTGCACCAGTTGGTGCCTAGAGCTTAAAGAAGTGGACGCACTCCATTCCCAGCCCAGCAGCCATCTCCAATTGGTAGTCACTTACAAATGAAAAATTAGTTTTTTCCAAGGGAGGCCCACTGCGGAAGCAAACATGCCCCACAGTGGCTGGACAACACAAAATGGACTCAATACTATCTTTGGAGGTTCTTTGTCTCATAATGTTAAGCATTTTTAATTTTAATCTTACAGGTCCTTTGCATATATATTATGGCTTTTAGCTGTTTGTGGGATTCCTGTGTGTGCAGACATGTGTATCTGTGTGTCTATTTGTGTTTCTTGTGCTTTTTATTTGGCTCGTTTTCTTGTTTGGCTGTTATATTCCAATTATTTGTTTTTTATTCTATTTTATTATTTCTTAGATGCCTGATTGTGTTCTAACAATAGACAGAAAGGGTGCAGAGGACCTGGGAGGAGTGAGAGGTGGGAAAATACTAACAAGAAAATATTGTATAAGCTGGGCAGCAGGGCTACACACCTTTAATCCTAGCACTCAGGAGACAGAGGCAGGCAAATATGAGTTTGAGGCCAGCCTGGTCTTCAGAGTGAGTTCCAGGCCAGCCAGCACCACACAGTGAAACCCTGTCTTGAAAAGCAAAACAAATAAATCCAACAAATATACAAGCAAACAAGCAATATATATATAGTATGAAAAATATTTTCAGTAAAGGGAAGAAATATTGTAAATGTAGACACGTTTGTAAATGTAAACTCTGATAAAGTGTTTATTACATGCAAAAGAACATAGATAAACATCAATATATCATGTCAATAGAAGAATTTTGAGTTGAAAGCTGTGCTTTATGTATAGACTTAGTGGCTGCATCTGGATTAGATTGCCTGTAATAACAGATTTTTCCAAGAGAGAAAAAGAATGCTATTTTGGTTTTATATCTATTTGATTTTAGTAGTTTCATAGCTACTTATGTATTTAATTGCACTTAATTCATTTGGAAAGAAGAGCGGGGAAGTTAAGCCTTTATCTAGCAGTTGTCCTAACGTTTTCTATCTCACTTCCATTGTTTGACCTGTGTATACACTTCCTCCCTCTAGCCTGGTGGCTCTTTATTCATCACTACGATCAACAGAACACAGCTGTCCTACGCCTTGGGAATTGTCTTCTCAGAGCAAATTGCAGGCTTTGTTCCAAAAGGTACTCACACATGGGAGAAGTTTGTTTCACCTGAAAAGCTAGAGAGTATCTTGGAATCAAGTAAGTATTAAAATAGTTCTCCAGCTCTCAAGGCTTTCTGATCCTTTATTGCCTGTGTAACTATTAATTGCATAATCTAGCACTTACTTAGGTAGGTTACTGTTTTTTTCAGATGTCAGTTTTATCTCTTCAACAATATCTTAAACTCTTTGAAACTATAGCTCTGAAATAGATGCCACTTCTGACTTGCACTTAGCCTTGAGCAATGGTCAGTAAACCCTTCCCAGCTAACTTGTCTAACTTGTTTAAGGATGAGTGCCAGTGTGCATTATTTGCACATACTCAGTTTCTCCTGGTGAGCTCTGCTCGTCACAATTTATCTTATGTTCTTTCCCGACTCTTCTACACTCAGATGTATTTTTAACTTCCATGTCATTTCTTATGTATTTCTGGTACCTACGTAAGTGACTAGGAGGCACCATGGTAGATGTCAGAGTTGGTATTTGAACCCAGCAGTCTGCTTTGGAGTATGTGTTCACACCTGCAGTGAAGTATGGTCTAAGCATGATTGCATGTAATTTTCACACTTCTCCACTCTTTTATGGCCCAGGATCTCCTTTTTGTACTCTTCGCAGTGCTTCACTCTGCTTTGACACAGGGAATTATTTGTTTGGTGAACTCTGCTAAGTGCTGTTTCTTAGTCCACCCACTTGGCATTTTGGAGGCTGAGCACTTAGACACCATTTCCCATGCTTCTGTTAACAACAGTGCATCACAGACCCACAGCCAAACAACAGGCTGAGCTTGGGGAGGTCTGTGGAAGAGTGGGAGGAAGGATTGAGTGAGCTAGAGGGGTCAAGGAGTCCACAAGAAGACCTACAGAGTGAACCAACCTGGGCTCATGGGGCCTCACAGACTGAACCACTAACCCAGGAGCACGCATGGGCTGGCCCTAGCCCCTACACATATGTACAGATGTGCAGCCTGGTCAGCATGTGGGTCCCCAAACACTGGAAACAGGGGCTGTCTCTGCCTCTGTTGTCTGCCACTGGACCCCTTTCCTCTAGCTGACCTATTTTGTCTGGCCTCAGTAGGAGAGGTTATGCTTAGTCCTGCTGAGACCTGAGGTGTCAGGGTGTGTTGGTACCCATGGGGGGGGGCTCCCCTTGTCTGAGAAGACAGGGAGGGGGGCATGAGAGTGGGACTGGGAAGAGAGGAAGGAGGGGGCTGGGATCAGGCTGTAAAATGATTAAATAAAAACTATAATTAAAAAAACAGTGCACCAACAAACTATTTTCCTTAAAATATTGCTAGTTCAGAGCAGTGGAGTGGCTTTTAGAGATGTCTGCACCTTTGTCGAAAATAAAAAAAAAAAAAGATATTTAAAGAATCTTTTGGAGCCGGGCATAGTGGTGCACATTTGTAATCCCAGCACTTTAAAGGCTGTAACAGGAGGACTGGGTATTTCAGGCTATCATGGACTACACAGAAAGCCTGTATTTAAAAAAGCCAGTCTTGAACAAGGTGAAGTCCTGTCTCAACAAACAAAAGAGAATAAAAAAGAAACCTTATGGAGACTATTTCTTGTTGACAGATATTCTCAAGTGACAGGTAGTATTGGCTGAGAACTTAGAGAGTTCTAAGCCCTGAGCTACTTTAGATACTTCTCCTCTGATTCCAAAGCTCCAGGACACGTGATCTGTATGTGGCGTTCAGAAAGGGTCACCATATCGTGGGCATCCGAGCTGGGCCCTGACACACTCTGCTGGAGTGTGCATTCTTACCTGCAGTTAAGTGCGATTCAAGCATGACTGCAGCATATTTTTGCTCATTCAGTTAGGAACGTTCTGTTAATGTGAAGAGTTACTGTATGTTCTTGTGGTTTGAATAGTAAATATTTATGGAGTCCAAAGCTTCTGATTTTTTTTCTTTCAGATGGTCTGTCAGTTCAAACTGTGGCAGGAATGCTCTATAATCCCTTCTCACGTTACTGGCATTGGAGTGACAGCACCAGCCTTAACTATGCAGCCCATGCCGTGAGGGCCAGTGCTCAGGACCAGCTGGAGCCTGCTGAGTCCCATTTAAAGGGGGGAACAGAAGCCGTCCAAGCTAATGCCTCCAGTCACCCAAGTGTGCATGAAGAGCAGAAGAATTGAGATACCTCTTTTTGCTTAAAGCTTTGTTGTTTACAAACTCAGAAAACTTATTTTTTGAGAGAGAGTCTGAAGAACAGAAGGTCAATAAAAATATCTGAATCATTGGAGAAAAGTTTCTGTGTCCCCTAAGAGACACTTTTTGAGGAATTTTCTGTTGAGGTTCATCAAGTGTGGCCAAGGAGTTTAGTCTCTCACCTTTTATTATAGAAATGTATGTTCAGTTCATTTTAGGTATTAGGCATTTTCACATGTATATACAGAAACATTCTGTTATTTATTTTAACTTAAGGAATCTCTGTTGTCTGTGGTCTTCCTTTATTTTTAGTTAAAATATACAAGACCCCTGATTTATAAAAGGCATGTGTAGTTTTTATCACTTATACTTGGGAATACACAATATATATTTTAAACCTAGGGTGGTGGTGCACATCTTTAATTCCAGCACTTAGAAGTCAGAGGCAGATGGATCTCTGTGAGTTGGAGATCAGCCTAGTTTACACAGTAAGTTATCCTGCTAGGGCTATATAATGAGATCCTGTCTCAGTCAATCAGTGTTTTTATTTTTTTATTAGTTTTTTTTTTTTTTTTTTTTAGAATTCCTGATAGTATATTTTGATCATAATTATATTCGACCTCCTACCCCAACTCCTTCTCTACCCACCCAACTTTGTGTCCTTCTTTGTCTTCTTTTCTTTTTTTAATATATATTTATTTATAATTTATTCACTTTTTCCTCAGTTGTAATCTTCTTCCTTATCTTATCCCGGACATGTCCTTCCTTCCTCTTCCCCCCTATCCTCCTCCCTTAATCCAGAAAAAGGAGTCCTCCTTTCCTACTATCTGACTCTACCCTATCAAGTCTCATCAGGACTGCCTGCATTCTCTTGCTCTGTGGCCTGGCTAGGCTGCCCTACCAGGGGGAAGTGATCAAAGAGTAGGCATCAAAGTTCATATCAGAGACAGCCCCTGCTCCCCTTGCTAGGGGACCACATGGAGACTGAGCTACCTATGGGCTACATCTGAGCAGAGGGTCTCGGTCCTCTCTATGCACGGTCCATGGTTGATTCACCAGTCTCTGCAGGGTCCGCTGGGCCCAGATTTGTTGACTTTGTTGGTCTTCATGTGGAATGTTTGTGTCTTGTGTGTGTGTGTGTGAAGTTCAGTTTGTACTGCCCCTAGACTCTGGGCTGTGTGGCCATCGCTGGAGTGTGGTTGACCTACCACCAGCCCCCTTAAAAGACAAAAAGCAAAACAAACCTGACACTGTGCCTCCCAGCAGCTATCAGTTGCTAACAGCTCCTAAGCTAGTGGTGGCCTTTGTACCTACCCCTCCTCTTCAGGATGGGATTGTTGTCTGGGTTAAGCTATTGTAGGGTTTGTGCATGCCATCACTAATGTATGTGTAACTGCCCTGTTGTATCTAGAAAACACTGTTTTCTTGTATTTACCTGCTACTTCTGGCTATTTCTGTGTCCCCTCCTGCAGTGACTGTTGAGCCTTGGGAGGAAGGGTAGTGATAGAAATATCACATTTGAGGCTAGGCATTCTGTAATCTCTTATTTCTTGCACCTTGACCAGTTGTGGGTCTCTGCGTTCATCATCATATACTGCAAAAAGAAGCTTCTTTAATGAATGTTGAGAGGTCTACTAATCTGTGGATATTACAGTAAGTCATTAGGAGTTAGTTTAACATTATGCCCATTTAGCAGAATAATGGTATTAGGTTCTATTATTAGTGCTACTAGAAGTAGGATCATATAAACTGTGATCCTAAATCAAGGATAGTAACAAACACTTATAATAGCAGAACTTTGGAGGTAGAGTCAGGAGGATTAGGAGTTCAGGGTTATCTTAGTCACTGTTCTGCTGTGAAGAGACACCATGACCATGGGAACTCTTATAAAGGAAAACACTTCCCTGGGGCTGGCTTTTACAGTCACAGGTTTAGTCCATTATCCTCATAGCAGGGAGCATGAGGACACACAGGCAGACAAGGTAGCTGAGAATTCTACATCTAGATCCAAAGGCAGCGGGAAGAGAGAGGCACTTGGCCTGTTTTGAGCATTTGAAAGCCCAAAGATACATTTCCTTCAACAAGGCCATACCTACTCCAACAAAGATACACTTTACAATTTCTGTCAAATAGCACTACTTCCTAATGACCAAGCATTCAAACATAGGCGCCCGTGGGGGCCATTACCATTCAAGCCACTACAAGAGTCATCTTTAGTTACATACTGAGTTCAAGACTAACCTGAATTACGTGGGACCCTGTTTTAGAAAAACAAAACAAAACAAAACCCACATAATAATAAATAACTGATCTTTAGACTGAATTTTAGGAATGTTTTTAATAAAGCAAAGCTACTTTATTCTACTTGTTGGAATAAAAGAGTATTGGTATTAAGGAATGTGTACTTTGGGGATTGAGTAGAAGGTTCCTCACAAACAGTATTTATTTTAGAAAGAGATTACTATTTTTCAGTTATTAAATGCACATGTTCAGTAATAACAGTTCCTGTGTCTGACTTGGCTTTCTCTCAGTTGAAGACAGGAAAGTGCTGTGCCTCTGGGTAGGATCTAAGTTGAACTTACAGGCCAATTCCAACTAAAGTCCAAGGTAATTGGGCTCAAAAAGCTATTAAAGCATTCTTTTCCTTTTTTATTAATAGGAATGTTTATAAAGTGAGGGGTAGCCTTCTTTAGCTCTCATTTCAGAAGCACTATTACTGAAGACCAGTGATATATGGAGTTAGGGTTATAGGAGGGGTCTTTAACCTACTAAGCTGCTCCCAGGAGCTCCAGGTACAGGAGTCCCCTTCAAAATAAAACTTTAGGGCTGTGTCTCTGTTAGAGTTTTATTGCTGTGTGAGATACCATGACCATGGCAACTCTTCTGAAGACAAACATGTAACGGGATGGTTTACATTCAGTGGTTTAGTCCATTATCATGGGTGGAAGCATGGTCGCACACATGGTGGTGGAGAAGTAGCTGTGAGCTTTACACTTGACTTGAGCATCTGAGACCTCAAAGCTCTCCACTCCAGCGACAAACCTCCAACAAGGCCACACCTCCAATAATACCAACCCCTAGCAATCTGTGGTCTACTGCCTGGCTCCCACAGGCATGTATCCATATCATAATGCAAAATGCATTTAGTTCAACTTCCAAAGCCCTCATAGTCTATAGCAGTCTTAACCCTGTTCAAATGTCCAAAGTCTCTCCACAGACTCATGGCAATCTGTTAACTGCAACTTCTGTAAAACCAAATTAAAAAAGTACATCATATACTTCTAGCATACAAAGGCAGAGAATATACATTACCATTCCAAAAGGAAGGAAAGGAAGCATAGTGAAGAAATACTGAACTGAAACAAGTCTGAAGACCAGCTAGGCAAACCCCATACTCTGCACCTCCATGTCTCATATCTGCCCTTTTCAGATCTCCAACTCCTTTCAGCTTTGTTGAATGCAGTACTTCTCTCTTGAACTGGTTCGCCTCCGTGTCAGCAGCTCTCCTCAGCAGTTGTCCCACTGCTCTTGCGTCTCCAACATCTTGGAGACTCCAAGTTAATCCAGGCTTCACCTCCACAGCTTCACACAATGGCCACTCTAGGCCTCCATGCAGGGACATCCCTGACACATGCCTGGTCTCAGCAGCTTTGCTTTACCATGGATAGAGATTCCATCGCCTGTTTCTTCTTGACTGTAAAGCCAGAACCACATGATCAAAGCTTCCAAGTTCTACTGCTTGCTGGGGCTTGAACACATTCAAATACATTTTCATCAGTTTCTGTTTTCAGTGGCTTCCTTCACTGCCTAAGCATGGCTATCCTGTAACTTGCTCTGTAAAACAGGGGGTCCATGAACTCAGAGATCCATATACTCACTGGAGCATAGTCAAACTCCCAGTGGCTAGCCCCTTCAGGATAACTGAGCCCTCCTTCCCCCACCAGAAGGCAGCTAGAAAGAGCTGCACTTCAGCATCTTCATCACAATTTTTTTATCATAATCATCATCATTATTACTATTTGTTTTTTTTTTTTTCAAGACAGGGTTTCTCGGTGTCTAGCCCTGGATGTTCTGGAACTCTCTTTGTAGACCAGGCTGGCCTCAAACTCACAGAGATCTGCCTGCCCCTGTCTCCCAAGGGCTGGGATTATATACTACCACACAGGCCCTTTATCACAGTTTTTAAGGTCTCTGTTTCTTTTGTGGGGGGTAGAGGTTGACACAGAAGACTTAACTGTCTCTCTCAATTATGAGCCTGCAGTCATCAATACCACTGTAAAAGAAGCTTCCTTGTCCATAACAACCAGCAGCAGCACGGACTTCCACATGGTTTCTGGTGGCAGCAAAGACCAAGGACACCAACACAGCTTTAGGCCGAAGCATGGATCATAGACATCAGCATGGTTACCTGTGGCAACATGGACCATGAACATCAACATGGTGCCTGGTGGCTCCATGGACAAAGGACATCAACACAGATTCGAGCCACAGCACAGATCAGATACCAATATGCCCTCATGTGGCATCATGGGCCATAGAAGTTTTGTTGTTGTTTTGTTGATTGATGAGCATGCACAAAATAGTCAGTTCTGAACTCAGAGCTTTCCCTGAGACCCCATGGTTGTTTTGTTTGTTTTATTTATTTTTTTTTTTGTTTTTGTTTTTCGAGACAGGGTTTCTCTGTGTAGCCTTGGCTGTCCTGGACTCACTTTATAGACAAGGCTGGCCTTGAACTCACAGCAATCACCCTGCCTCTGCCTACCACAGCTGTTTCTTGCCTCAAAGGCTCTACTTTTCCTTGTATTCAGAACAAATTGTAATCTGTGAGTCCTTAGACTTCAAATCCCATGACAACGGGTCCTTGAATATGTGTGTGTGTAGGTGTATAGCATTTACATTATTTCCTCACTCTTCCCTCTAACCTTTTTCTTCTCAAATTCATGTATTTTTTCTTTAAATTTTTAAAAACTCTTTATTGATTATTTGTGTATTTTACATCATGCACCCCAATTTCACTCATCTCCCTATTCCTCCATATCTGCCCCCATCCTTGCAACCTCCTCCCAAAACACAATAAAAATAAACAAAATAAAACACAATAACAACAACATCAACGCACCCCATCTCACTGTGGAAGTTATCGTGTGTCACACAGTGTACCCTTTGCGCAAACAGCTTTACTTGCAAATGTTCATTGCAGTGAGTCATTGGTCTGGCTGGAGGGCTCTGGCTTCCCCTACACCATCAATACTGGATCCTCACAGGGACTCCTCTTGGATATCTTGTTGCCCTGTGTCATGGAGATATTGCAGCTTTGGATCTTCAGGACTGGCCCCTTCATGCACTTCAGAAGCTCATAGAAGGGGTAGATATTGAAGTGGACCAACTCAAAGCCCTGGATCTGGGCCTGGGTGGTAGTTGAGTTGGCCAGCACGCCAGT